CCGTGTCTTTACAACTTTACAAACATACATGAAACGGACACAAAGAACACCCAGACTCAGAACAACAATTTGTTGATCAGACAAAGTGTCGTCCCATGTGGGGATCGAACCCACAACACACAGCGCAGTACTAAGGGCGTGGCGACCGCTTAAACCACTACGCCATCCGTGCAGTCAAATAATCCAGAGACGGTAGTGGCAAGGTTACGGGTAATTATCTTGGCTTGTTATTGTAAGTTTGTTGTCTCTGTTTATTGTAATTGGGTTTGAACATAACCAGTCTCTACTAGGATTGTAAATTTATGTGTTTAGCAACTACAACATTGAAATAAGTATTTTCAGAATACCACTTAAAATACTTCTTCATATATAGTCTTTCGGGGCCCCATGACGAATGGGGCTCTGAGCATGGGCCCCATTTGCTTGTGTGATAAACACTTTACTGAATAAGAGTCCTAGACGTTATTTGGGGTTTTGGAGTCGGGAACTACGATTGTCACGACCAGAGCAGCATTTTTAAACAGCGATAATTGGCATCTGACATTGTATTGGATGTCCAGAATGGAAGTCCAGGGGCCTAGTTACTCTAACATTAAATAAAGTTGCAGATGTTCTTTTGGTAAGTTTCTGGTATTGTCAGCAGTAATTATCACCGATAATTGAGAGGAACTGTATCATCACTCTCAGGTGGACTATTAGAGAACAGAAGCGGTTGGTCAGAATCACGGGTATACAAAATCTAGGAGTTCCAGTGTCCATGTGACGCCATTCTGGTGGTGGTTTTATAGGGAAAACGGATAGTCATCTTCTATACAGTGACCTTGAAGCTCATTCTCTCTTAGGAGGCAAACGAGGCGACGGGTCACCTGATGGAAAGTGGCTACCGCAGCCTATGAATGCCTGCGACTCAGGAGTTATCACCACGTTGCCAGCCTTTGAGTTAGGAGTACGCTCTTTTATGGAAGGTTTTATCGGTTCGGAAATACCGCCGCGAAGGCGATAATTTGTTCCACAGATTGGTTTTCCGAGGTGTTTTAATATAATATACTGATTGGCAGAACACCGCAAACAATTTAATATTTGAAGTCAAAGAGAATTTCGACTAAAGTATCTCTATCTTTAACCTGTGGAAGCCTTGCTGAACACCACAACCGGCGTAAGGTCATCCAAAGCCCAAATAGTCAGAAATTGTATCTTTCTAGCTTCGGTGACTCTTTATTGCTAGGCGGGTAGTATGCTTGTTTCCATTTAGGTAGAATCACAAAAAAAATTAAAGCTGTCACTCTAACCACTTTGGTCAGATTATTTAAAAAAAAAACTAAAAAAAAGAAATGTTTGTTCTTTATAACAGTAATAATAAATAATTAGGAGAAAGCATATTTTACAAAATATTCGATCAAAATTTAAAAACACTGTGTCTTTACAAGAGAATAATATCGGAATTAACATATTAATTTAGCGTGTGAAAAAAAACGAACAAACTTTACAGTAGTCGTATATGACGTGTAACATCTGACATCTTACCTGCCATCTGACGGCCAAATCTAGAACCACGAGCGTTCATTGATTAAATCAAGTAGAGCGCACTTCGTGTTACGCATTTCCGTCCCGTCAGAGATAGGAAAAGTGTTACACATCAAAAATACCTTAATAAATGAACAACAAAATAAGAAATTAACACACGATTTCACTTCGAATTTCATTCAACAGGTTAAATAAATATTTTCTTTTTATAATTTGTAGATCACAGATAATAATATACCTTATTGCTAGGATGTAAAGATCAATATTAGTTGTTTGCCCTAAGGACGACTTAATATAACTCTTAGTTTAGAGTAACTATCTAATATGTTGTCATTCAAATAAGTTATTGGGTATTTGACTGACCTGATGGGGTAGTGAGGGATTCTGACCGCTGAGTCAGGAGTCGTGGGTTTGATACACACCCAGGTCAAACAATTGTGTGATGAGCACGATTATTTGGTCTGTGCCTTTGTATATGTATTATTTATTATATTATAGGGGGTCACCTGATGGTAGGTGACAAGTGGGTTGTCACCCTCACCAACCCGGTATTATTATTATAGGTATTCTTAACCCGACATACGTTGTTCACACTTCTTAAACTAAAAAACATTTTATAGTAGACCGAATTGTGAAGCTAAACCATTCTCGAATCCACTTGAACACACACAAAAAACAAACATCAAAATCGCTAAAGGCGTTTAGGAGAAGTTCAGCCACATACACACGCACAGAAGAATTATATATATAAACGTTTATGAGCAATCTAGTTAGCCAGCAGACGTCGGACGTGGGGTGAAAAAAATTCTTGTCAAAACAATTCAGAAATTAAACGGTTTTTAGTTTCTTTATTCGTTAATAACGTATTGGATCTGGTTGGCGTATGTATTCAAATTTTATTAAGGCTTTTTTTAGAAAAAAATTAAGTAGAAAAAAAAACTGGCATTACATGTTTAAAATATCACAACCTGTATTTATTATTATCAACATCCCTATTACTCAAATTTAACAAATGTTTTTGTGAATATGTGGTTTGGACACAGTCAGCCTTTCGAAATCTGTCACCATTTGCAAACCCCAGGTCTGGTCGATATGGTATAAATGTGATAATTTAAAATAACCAAAATGGCGACCAGAACAACACTTTTCTTGGTGTTCTCGACATTTAATGATAAATTTTAATAATTTCAACAAACAGTTCGAGTTCCAAGTATGCGACATTGAGCTGTTCCATCCAGTTATTGCTAACGCACCTGAAAGCAGTAAGTATCCCTTTTCAACCAACGCTTTCCTTTCTAATCAACCTTTCCTTTCATTGTACCCTCAATTACCTAATCTAATTTCGTAACTAGGACCAAAGTAGGCAAAATGTGGACGTTTATTAAGCTTCTGCCTACCTTCTCGGGCACATATTGCCGTAGTATATATAATGAACCCGAGTCAAAATTAACGACAAACAAAAAACAGATGCATTAATTTTAAATACATTTCAACAATAATTTATATGAATGACAAATTATTTATATAATACCTTAACGTTTTATTTTTACCTACCTAATTGTTCTTAATAAAAAAATACATTATTTTATTGCGATAGGCGTGCAATTCACTCAACATGGGCATCAAACCTGCACTTCAGTCTTACACTCATACTTGACAACTAGTTTGTTTTACAACTAATTTTAGTATCACTACATCTCGTTCTTACAAAAGCAATAAGAGAGGAATAGACATATTATTTACGTTTTATTTACATTTAAGAGAGATTTGTATTATTTTGCTAAAAGATTAGAATTTAAAAAATCACGAGATATTCATATTTTTTCAAGATATAGGGATGTTATATTCACATATGTGTACACTGGTATTGGGCCCAAAAGTGGCCCTAAATGAAATGGTATAGCGACCTGTCGCGTCGGTATCGTACATCTTACTCCGCACAAGAGCCAGTACCACTGTACGACTATAAAAATATCGAACGAAGAAAATACTCGTACAGGGGTACATTTATTTTTATATATGGAAGTGTAACATAACACAAAAAAACTTATGGCAATACCTTAAATTAACAGTTACAAGAAACAAATTAGCAGTTTTAACAGTGCGTATGTCTAAAATCTCAACTTTACAGTTGATCGAAATAAATATCCATGAAAGTCGAAGCAACATTTTTAACCAGTTCTTAAAGAGAAGATGGAACTGTTTTTGTAACAATCTTGAATAGAGTATAGAGTTATTTATTCTGTCTCTAAATCTGATAGATTTTGAAGTTACGAATACATAATCTGTTGCCGCGTTATACACTTGTCACGTGAGTGGCGAATGCCACGTTGCTAGTGTTGCCACATTTGAAACTCTGCTTTTGGCACAGGTATTGCCACTTTCATTTTAACTTATTATATGTATTTTGTTTAAAAAAGTGTTTTTGTAAAGTTCGTGTTTGAGAGCTGTCGTGTGTTTTAGAAATAAAAATTTTCTTTCTTCTTTCTTCTAAGCAGTTGAGTAACTTACGTTGTGTCGACCTTGTAACGTAACTAAGTCATTTTTATTTTATTTTTTTGGCTTCGAAAGGCGATCAAGCAGACGGGTCACCTGATAGTAAGATTACCGCCGATTATGACCACCTGAATTCAAGAGTCACAAATGCGTCGCGAACCGTTAAGTCATCCCTAAAATCAGAGGGAGGGAGGGCTTCGGGAATCTCACTCGCTCGGTGAAAAGCAATGAAAGAACAGATTCCCAGGTGTGAGTTTCTTTTATATATTCTCGCGCGTTTAGCGTTGTGATTGGTGGAAATTTCAGTGCGGGCCAATTTTGCCCAATGAAATAAACAGCATTTGGCTTTCTGATTAACATTGGTTTTCTGTAAGGCCGTTGTATTTAAAACTGAGGCGCTATTGATTAGCTATTTCTTTTCTGACCAGTTTAAAAACAGCTCGTAGTTTTGTCTGTTTCGACTTAAGCCATGTTAAGGCTTTATTGAAGAATTTTAAAATGGATAATTTAAAATTAATTTGGAAAAGGACGACGCAGAAGAGACTAGAACAGTACGTTCTTAGAAAAAGTGCTCCGTGCTTTTATGTTTAGTTCTGGAATACGATTTTATTTACCAGCACTCTTGGAAAACTTAAATTAAACTTGTTCTACTAGTAACTAGTAAACCAAATGGGACGTTTTGCGTTTTTCTTTTACAAGATTTATTAACCTAATTTTGATTAGTAACCGTTCTAACAATTAAACATATTATAGAAAAACAGGCCCTGGTGTTATTGGACCAAACTTATCACAGCAAGGCGTGAAGTTCATGCAATAACATGTTCAGTTGGCACAAAGAACGTAATACACATATCATCTACCACAAGACTGTAGTTAGAATAAAGTTTTAACTTGAAATATGTGCACGTATACGCAGTTCAAACGTAGACCTACACGTAGAAAGTTCTTCCAACACAATGTTCCATTACACCACTCACTACTCACACACAATTTTTTTCAATCCCGGTCATCTCTAAACTATAGTCATCAGTTTCAAACACTGCAGGGTCCACACACTCCTGCTGCAAGTTCGGCTCATCGTGAGCAGTGGCCATGATCCTCTCGAGACGCGCCTGGATGTCTCCGAGGAGGGCGCGCTGAGAGGGCTCCGAGGCCCAGCAGGACTCCATGATGTCCCAGCACTCGTCAGAGAACTGGGGCAGACGTTCTGGACGACGACCTGGTGATCAAAGTGACATCAATTATAAACATATTAAAAAATATTTATGTTTTCATGTAAAGTATAAAAATTTGATACTGAATGACCTCAGGCAATTTCATCATCATCATCATCATCATCAACAGCCTTTACTAGTCCACTGCTGGACATAGGCCTCTCCTTAGAAAGGAGGTTTTGGCCTACTGTACCACGCTGGCCAGACGGGTTGGTTTAGGGTTTGTTTCGAGTTTTCCTTCTCTTTGCAGTGCTGTTGTCCTGCGTAGTTTGCTCCCTTAGTCGGCTCTTACGACCCCTACGTGATGAAAAGGGGTGTTGACACTGTGTATTCTTAATCCGTCACCACACGGACACGGACAGGCAACTTAACCTGTTTTAACTGATTGCACTTAAAGTTCATCCTATTTAGATTAGAAGAAAATATTCAACCTCTATGGGTAGAAAATTAATGAGTGAAGAATCCAGACAATAACAATTTATGGTGTGGCCATAGACTTTTGCTGGCAGATTCAAGAAGAGTATGCCTTACCAGCAGCTGTTCTCTAACCCCTTTCCATTTTACGCACAACATAGCACACTGTGTGGTTCGCTTTGATTTCAACATATCACCTCACCGTAAACCCGGGTGGTGATGACGTATCGCAAATAAGAGCATCACTGTTTTTCAAAATCACAGCATGTTTTATAGTTGTCTTACCTCTTTTAACTTTACTCCATAATTGTTCTTTATTTTGAAAATCGAAAGCGGACGGCAGTTTTATGTTCCCGGCGCAAACATACCTGGAAACAATATTTAAGTTTATGAGATGACAAAGGAGAATTAGTTCCTATAAATGTTCAAGAGAATCTCTGACAAGTGACTTTGAATTTAATTGTGGATGTGACCACAGCAATGCGTGTTTTTAAGACAATGCGGGCGGCATTAGGAATATATTCCTGTGTCGCGGGGGACTTTACAAACATACATGAAAAGGACACAAAGAACACCCAGACTCAGAACAATTTGTAGATCACACAAAGTGTCGTCCCATGTGGGGTTTGAACCCCACAACAATCGGAGTAGTAGGAAGCGGCGTGGCGACCACTTAAACCACTACGCCATCCGTGCAGTCATTTTAATATTATAAATAATATCAAATTAATAGTACTAATTATACTATATATTCCGTGTGGTGACGGATTAACAATACATAGTGTCACCACCCCTAGTGTTCCCGTGGGTGTGGTGTCGTCATAGCCGACTAAGGGAGCTACTGTGCAGGATAACAGCACTGCAAAAAGAAGTAAACTTGAAACAAACACTATACCAACTCGTCAGGCTAGCGTGGTATAGTAGGCCAAAACCTCCTTTCTATAGAGATGCCTTTGACCAGCAGTGGACTAGTAAAGCCTGTGGATAAAAGACGATACTATCCCTGAAGTATTTGCAAAGAATATACGAAATAACGGTGCCGAGTCTGACACTGCTTTACTCCTTCAGTAATATAACAAAACAAAATAGAAACCACCAATTAAACAAAACACCTATCATTAATTCCACTAGCCAAATAAAATTCTTCCAGGTATAGTGGTACACTCACCAAAAGAGTATCCCGAAGGCATAGACGTCGACGCTGGCGTCGTACTCGCCCGCCAGCAGCTCGGGCGCCATGTGCACGGGCGTGCCCACCACGGAGCCAGAGATCAGCGCCTCCGCCGCGCAGAAGCCCAGGTCCGACAGCGCCGCGCGGTCCAAAGAGTCCAGCAGGACGTTCTTCATCTTTATGTCGCGGTGCACCAAGCCCAGCGAGTGGAGGTAGCGGATACCTGACAAAAACGATATCTCATCATCATCTGCCTACCCTTATCCCAATCTTATTTGGGGTTGTCAATTCAATTCTACTCCATCATTCGTCGTCTCACTGTTTAATCGCTTCCTAGCTATATCCTCACTCACACAGTCCATCCGACTTTTTTTGATCTTCCTCTTCTCTTGTACCCTTCAACAACCATACCTGACACTTTCTTTTTCCTCATCCCTCCGCATGACATGTCCATAACAAGATAACCTATTAATTCTTAACTTTTCATCCAGTGGCGCTACTTTCAGACTCCCTCGTATATACTCATTCCTGACCTTGTCCAAGTCACACCACAACATCGTTCTCAGCATTTACATTTCGGCTACGTTCAGGCGTCTCTCATCCGTTCTCGTAATGGGCCAGCTTTCAGAACCATACAGGAAGGCAGGTCTGATGATAGTTTTATAAATTTGTCCCTTCAGTACTAAGGGGAAACTGGAATCACAAATTGTTCCCGTTACCTGCCGCCACTTCATCTATCCCGTACTACTGTATTTTGGCAGCTGATGCATTTGAAAGGATTTTTGGAAATTTCACCCCTAAGGTGGCAAAATAAGGGATGAACAGTTGTATGGAAGTTCGTCATTTTCAATGTTAAAAACACAAAATAAGAAATATTCACGTCTATACTTGAAAAGCAAAATATTATAAGGTACCTTCGACAATATCCGCAGCGATTCTCATCCGGGAACTGAAGGTGAGTCCTGCCCGGACTGCAGCGTGCAGGTCTCGAACTTTGCGCTCGGACACCAGCAGGACGCAGGAACCGGCTTGCGACCGTTGCACCACTGAGCCGTACAGGCGGACTATACGGGGATGCGCCGGGATACTCCTGTTCAAGTATTAATATTAAGAAATACAGTAACACTAGATTGGTAGTATTGTTCTATCATTATGGAAAAAACGATTCTCGGGTCGGACCAAAAGTTTGTATGATCTGCTCATATTTATTTCGGAGTTTTTGGGTGTTTTCTATATATAATATCATCTATATATATAAGAGATTTCCACGTATATAGTCACTCATCACGATATCTCTGGAACCATTAGAGCTAAAGACTTGAAATTTGGTAGAAATATTTTTTTCACCGAGTTGAGGTCAGCTAACAACGGATTTTACGAAATTCCACCCCCAGAGGGCTGTGCGGGGGCGTTGACAATTTAAAAATTTTTTTTGGCAAAACAACGTTTGCAGGGTCAACTAGTATTATATATAGAAAACACACAAAATATATACATATTATTAATATGTATATATTTACAAAAAAAATGTGTTCTATCAATCAATCTAGCTTTCAAAGTACAAGCTCTGCTTAGTTTGAAACTAGATGGCGTTGTGTTAGATGTCCGCAAATATTATTATTATTTCCATAGGAGAGTTATTCTGCCGCACATTATGAGCTAACCGGAGTGTTGTTGTTTCAATACACCGAGTTAATGCGGTTACCGGAGGCTAAGCCCCCTCCCTTCACCCCCAAACCCCGTTTTAACGGGCGCCAGTCAAAGGGCGGCATCGCACCGGTGTCCTTTGAGTTGCACGTATCCATGACCGGTGATAGTCACTTAACATCAGGCAACCCATCTGCTCGTTTAACCCCACCATACCATAAAAAAGGATTTCTAGATGATTCTAGAAATTCAACCAACATACATCCATACAATAATACTAATAACCTTTATAAAAAATAGTACAAACTTTAATTACTAAATATTTAAATAAAAATAAAATAATTTCTATACAGATTAAATATGTATAAATAATATATTTTAAATAAATATAGTAATAATCATTCCCCTCTCTCTCTTTTCTATGCTGTGCCCGACAGGGTCCATAATTGATACCTAGCTTAAGTTTTTACCAACTGTAAAATTTACATTATGGCAGCAATAAAGTATTGAGTATTGAGTATCCTCAAAAGTTGAAGTCACTTACCTAGTATAAAAGAATTCCATGGCCAACTCTCTGTAGTGCCTATCGTCGGCCGGTAGCACCGACTTCACGGCAACCGGAGACTTCCCTCCCCAAGACCCTCGCACGCTATACACCACGCCATATTGCCCACGACCTGGCAATGCAAAAAAAAACTGAATTTATCATCCATCACAAAATATCCAAAGCAACTCTTCATCAAGTCAACTTGAACTACTTACTACTAAACTTCAAATGTAGTAGCTCTTTTGATATAACAACTGGTCAAATGTCTAAGAAAACCTTAACCAAATTCTGCTACTGTCTCCTTTCTCTATTTTCTTTACTCTATATCTCACTTTTTCTGTATTTCTAAAATGTTTTCCTCCTTTTTCTCTATTAAACTCAAATATTTTTTTATTGAGTACTCCTTGTTACTGTGTACATTTACAATAATATTAAAAAAACTACTAGAATACGAGAGATGAGATGACCCTTATGAATTCAAAGGTCATAAGAGTCTCATAAGCATTTAAATCTCTATTACATGAGACAGGCTTACAACAACTTCTTCACGACATAAAATACTCCTGCATGAAAAACTGATAGGTAATGAAGATTCCACAAAACCGGTCGGATCGATGGAACCCCCATCGGACGGCGCTTACAAACCATTGTACTTACAGCGTGTGCATGGCTGGAGAAATTCTTTTCTTTCTTTCTTTTTTTTTAAAGACAACTCCCGCATTAGGAATATATCCTGTGTCGCGGCGGACTTTACAAACATACATGAAACGGACACAAAGAACACCCAAACTCAGAACAACAATTTGTGGATCACACAAAGTGTCGTCCCATGTGGGGATCGAACCCACAACACTGAGCGTAGTAGTAAATGGCGTGGCGACTGCTTAAACCATTACGCCATCCGTTCTCTTACTCTATCTAATCGTGAGTTTTAATATCTGGTTTGTTTGGTTTGTTCTTGAAGATGCTTACCAATTTCCCGTCCCAGCTCTGGTGTTCCGTACATGAGGAGGTCGCACATGGACGTACTTTCTAAACATAGTCTAGCAAACGTTGGCGCGTACCTGTAATAAGCATATCAGGTGAGTATGAAGTTAAGCTACCTGCTGTGTCTTTGATCTTAATTATTGAGGCCTGTCTATTCGTAGGTTCAGAAGTCTTATGTCACCCACGAATGATTGTCCCCAGAAAAAATATTGTGGTATAAGGACGTTCATATTATGTTCTGTGTTGTATATTTAGAAATTTAGAAGCTTTTAAAGAATCTCTGTCTTAAGCCCAAAAGTTTATTGCTCGAATCCGAGTGGAAAAACATACAATAGTCTTAGGGACTACTTTTATAGGGGAATGTTATAGGCTTTGTGTTATAAGTGTATAATATATACAGTGATAGGCTTTATGTTATAGGATGAAGTTTTGAGACACGTGATTGATACTAGCAATAGTAGCGGGTAGGGTTATTTCCGCCTCGAGCTTCTATTACTTGTGTGTCATGGGTAGTATTCGGCTCGAAGGACCAAAATTATACTAAAGTAAATAACCATTGCTATTATTATTAGACATAGGCCTCTCCTTAGAAAGGTGGCTTAGGCCTATGTCCAGCAGTGGACTATTAAAGGCTGTTGATGATGATGATGATTATTATTATTAGTACTTATAATGAAAATCTATTGCGAATAATGACATAATCACTGACAAAATTACGCAATCTACCTACTTTTTCCTAATAGCCAGCTTAATGTCCCCGGTATGGTGTAACCTGCCCGCTAATGCACTTTCTAAGGACGTCAGCGCTGACTGGTAACGCTCGTGTGCCATGCTTAATCGTTCTAGTATCTGAGAAATCACAATCAATATTAATATTACGGACAGACTATAGAGTATTCATCAAGAACTAGAACTGAAGGTGGTACCTGCGCGGAGATGAGCTTGGCGAGGCGCTGCGGCGAGAGCTGGTGCAGCGCGGAGGCGGCCACGCGGCGGCGCCAGCGCGGCGACAGCGCGCAGCACGCCTCCTCGCCCTCGCCGCCCACCAGCCGCAGCCTGCGCACGGAGGGGGGACTCACACTCTCTCACTTTCAAATTCTATCTATCCATTTCGAATGCCAACCCCACTCGAATTTATTTTGTTTTATGCCAGCGCACCCGGTCTAACTTTATCGCGAAAGAATATTTTGCATACAGTAAGGCCCCAGCCTGCTGCCTTGTCATACTCCATATTACTAGGGTTTTTAAAGTATATAAAAAATAACTAACATAACTTTCGTTTAAGTTTATTTATGTGATAAGTCGATTACTAGATAGTACTAAAGCAAGTTGAAGATGTACTACTAACAATAAGAGTCCCTTTTTTATTACTAATATTTATGATCAACTAAATCAAAGGCTTGGGTTAAATCAAAGATCCCATTTCAACTGTTATGGTTAGGGATATTTATGTTACCCAAGATATTGTAACTACTTATCTCGATTTATGCTATGAAGTCTTTTTAATTTATAAAAAACATAAAAAAATATTGTTTATGGACATAATACTCATGTAAAAACTCACTTGTAAAGTATCCTCCGCAGTGACTCCAACAAGCTGGTGAGCAGTGGGAAGGCTGCGCAGGGCGACAGGTCGACCTGACGGGCTACGGATAACAGTTGGCGCATGGCCTCGCTAGCGGGTCTGCCGCCCAGCTCCTGTCTGCATGACGACTCCAGCGATTCTAAACATCTAGAGAAAATAAAGAAAACATTTATTCTAAAATTAAATTGTTGTTTAGGTAATTGGTGACGGATTAAGAATACGGAATGTCACCACATCTATTCATCCCGTGGGTATCGTAAGAGCCGACTAAGGGAGCAAACTACGCAGGACACCAACACTGCAAAGAGAAGGAAAACTTGAAACAAACCCTATACCAACCCGTCTGGCCAGCGTGGTATAGTAGGCCAAGACCTCCTTTCTAAGGAGAGGCCTATGTCCAGCGGTGGACTGCTATAAGTTGCTGATGTTGATGACGGCGTTGGAAGTTACTCTGTGTCCTACCCCTTTTGTCATAAGGTCCGCACTTGACAAAATAAAAATACCACCACCTTTTAGTGATGGCTAAAAAGTTTGAAGTCTTATTGTATTAAAATCTTACCTCTGCAACGTCCCGAAATAAGTGACTTTGAGACATTCCACAAACTTCACTAGCTTCAAACTTATCTTCTGACTTAACTTAGAGAGAACTGAAATAATAAACAAAAGTAATGTTAATAATATAGAGAAAAGTTTTTTGAAAGTCATTTGATGTTCTAAGGATCAGCAGTACTGTGGATAATTTTACTAACTACAATTTTTATTATTAAAGTCATTTTATTAAATATGAAAAGGCAACTCTTGCTGACCATTGAGGCAGAGCTCACAGGTTCGATTCCAAAAGAGGAGAAATAATTGTGTGATAAGCAAAATCTTTTGTTCTGTATCTGGGTACAATAACTATAATATGGGTATATGTAGTAATACGACCAACGACAGGATGGCGTAGTGGTTTGTGTAACAGACTGCTATTCCAAAGGTTACGGGTTTGATTCCCGTTCAAGTCAAACATGTGTGTGCATGAACATTTAATGTTTGATTTGGTCTGGGTGTTTCTATGTATAATAAGTATGTATTTACAAAAAAAAGTATACATGTATTTATATCAGTTGTCTAGTACCCATAGAACAAGTTTTGCTTAGTATGGGACTAGATGGCGTTGTTTGAATGTGGTAGAATATTATTATTATTATTAATATATAAGTATGTTTATCAGGAGTCTGGTTACCTGTGAGTATTTTAAGATCAGATGACCGTGAATGAGGCCTGTCAAACATTATTATTATTATATTAAAATATATTGTAAAAGCTGAAAGGTGTATATTTGTTTGATGTATTTTATTTCAAAAACAAAATAAAACAGTCATACCTGTCCGTTGCACGTCTAAAGACGCTTGCTTGACAGATATATTTCGAGTGCTCGTACAAGTGGTGCCCCCACTCCAGCCGCTGCTCGACAAAGAGTACATCTCTGACTCGTTCTCTACTCGAATGTTGTATGGAGATTCTGATTCTTGTGACTGGAAAATATTATAAAGTTTGTTGCATTTTTGGATTTGGATACAATATTTCAAGAAAACACATTGTTACGAGCGAGGTATATAATAAATAAAAGTTGTGGGTTAATTACTTTTAATGGACTGTATTTACAAACACTCACTATAATAAACTAGAAATGGCTATATAACTCGTTAGACGCACTAGAAATTTACTCCGATGTTAATTCGTTGTGTCGTAAAACGATTATATGTTGAACGGCCAACATGCTCCGCTTTTATAGCGCTATCGAATTTAATAGAAAGATCCCTAGTGTTCGATTGTCCGTTCCAGACAAACAAGAATGTTCCAGAATTAGTCACGCGTTACTTGCAGCGTCATCTAGCGCTGTAAGGCTCAGAATTATTAACCACAATCTAAATAGATGTACTTTACTCGATACTAGATGTCGTAATTCTGGAACAATCGAACCATTTAATCCTATGGCGCAACAATATTTTGCCTAAAACTATTGCTCGACTGATTCGACACCGCACCGGCATCTTGTCGAACATTATGAAATGTTCTAAGTTTTTCTTTAACATTGTATTACTTCCCAAGTTCTCAGCTTGAGGCAAAACATAATTTTTACAATTAATGTGAACTTTACTTTCATCAACAGCCTTTCATAGTCCATTGCTGGACATAAGCAGAGATCTGTGTCCAGCAATGGACTAAGCAATAGACTAAACCTCCTTTCTATACCACGCTGGCCAGACGGGTTGGTATAGGGTTTGTGTCAAGTTTTCCTTCTCTTTGCAGCGCTGCTGTCCTGCGTAGTTTGCTCCCTTAGTCGGATCCTACGACACCCACGGGATGAATTGGGGTCGTGACATTCCGTATTCTTCATCTGTCCCACACGGTCCGAACTTTAGTTTGTTTAAATTGGCATTGGCAGTTCGCCCTAAAAAGGATAATAACAGTCCAAAGCATAGTTAGCAAAGCTAAATCGTAGGTATAACTAGTGTGTTACGATTCTCACCTTAACTTTCCCGAACGAGTCCTCGGTGGTCTCCGACACCTCCTCCTCATGAGGGATAATGTCGTAATCATCGAAGTTATACGTATCGAGTGAGAGCGCGTCCTCGCTGTCGGAGGGCTGCTCGTACGCGCACGTGCGGAGGGACGCGATCGACGGCGTACTTCGAGTAGAGGAAGAGTAGAAGATGGAGTTGGAGACTAGAAAACTAGTGTCACGGTGACATGGGAGATCTGTAATTAATAAAAATATTATCGCTAGTACTAGTACTAGTTGTTGTAAATTCTAAAAATCTGCACTGCTTATTTGCACTGAGTGACTGACGCTAACGGAGCCCAAACTCCTCAACATTGCCGTTGTGGGGTGGGGGGGGGACTCACGCTGGCCAGACGAGTTGGTATAGGGTTTTTGTCAAGTTTCCCTTCTTTTGGCAGTGCCGTTGTCCTGCGTAGTATACTCTCTTAGTCGGCTCTTACGACACCCACAGGATGAATAAGGGTGGTGACACTCCGTATTCTTAATACGTCACCACACGGATAAAAATATACAGCTGGTAAATATTCATCTGTATATGACATTATTAAGAACAAATAGTACAGTGTAATAAAATCTGACCGTCTACGCTCCAGTCCATATTGTTAACTTCTGTTCTCATTTCTTGCAGAACTTCCTGCATTATTTGTACAAGCTCTTGTTTTTTATCTCCCTCTGAGAACTTTTCATTGATTGTCTGAAATAAAAAATGAATTATTTATGTTAGTTAACCATGATTTAATTAAATATTGACGGGCCCATTGGTCGAATGGTTACTGATCCTGCTAAGACAGAGGTTGAAGTTCGAGTCCCATTCAGGACAAAAAAAAATCACGATCAAAATCTTCGATCAACCAACAATATGCTTCTTCTATACCCCCTTCACACCTCCGACTTCATCAACTCCTCTTACGTCCAGTCAGTTCTTCTCTGGAATGCCCTCCCTGCCGAAATCTGGATGTCCACAAACCGACTGAGTATTTATGTACTTTTTAAATTTATGTAGGTTTATGTATGTATGTGTGTTTTATATCTTGTGTATGTCTCTGGACTTCAATTATGTTAAATTTAATAAAAAATTTTGCTCACCGCATCATATTTCTACATCACCTGAAGGTTGTCTGGGAGAGAATGCCTAATGGCATTAAGTCCGCCTTTGTACAATATGTGCATTAAGTCTTAAATAAATAAATAATACAAAATTGTGTAATAAGCAAGATTATTTGTTTTGTGTCTGGGTGTAATACATGTTTAATATGTATGTATTTAGAAATATATAAGTATGTTTATCAGCAGTCTGGTTACCGTAGTACAGGCTCTGCCTAGTTTCGTGTCAAAAGACTATAAGTGAGATGTTTTTTCATTATTATAGTCTTTACTATTGCAATTAGTGGTATTTTACATATCTATTTTATGTAGAGAAATTCTATAGTGCTTTAGAATGCCACATTTTTTTTCCGCATTAGGAATATATCCTGTGTAGCGGGGGACTTTACAAACATACATGAAACGGACACAAAGAACAACTATTTGTGGATCACACAAAGTGTCGTCCCATGTGTGGTTTGAACCCACAACACTCGGCGCAGTAGGAAGCGGCGTGGCGTGAATTCAACTTCCGCTCAGTAAAAATATTTATATAAGTAATAACTTTCGCGTTCTGCGATATTTAGTTATGTGTATACAATATAAACAGTTACAACCTGGCAGGGTCCTTGCAATGGTATTTATTTCAATGTATAATTATATTAAAATAAAAATTGATATATATGTATGTTTATTTGTGCTCTAGAACCAATGTCTTCTCGAAAAAGTATTACTCCCATGGGATAGAATTACCTTTACGAAAAGCCACGAGCTAAAACTATTGTTCTATGGGCAGGTTTTTGTCGCCCATAAACTTATAAAACACGGCCGTCGCATCCCAAACTAGGCAGAGCCTGTACTATGGTAACCCGACCGCTGATAAACATACTTATACATGTCTAAATACATACAATATTATAGATACATTCAACCCAGCACAGAACGAATGATCGTGCTTATCACACAATTATTTGTCCTGGGTGGGAATCGAACTCGCGACCTCTGGCTTAGCAGTCACGGTCACCAACAGGCCCGTAATCTATAATCTCACCTCGTATAATTGTTGTTCCTGTTTAGCTACATATTGTATCTTCTTCGGCACAACTTGTAACTCTCGCGCCATATCGAATGACGCCAAGATGAACTGCTGCAGCAATTTCACGTGAACCTGTCCACATAAAAGACATTTCTTAGCGTTCCATGGACTCCGGGTCCGGCCGGGCTCATCGCGTAATAGATGGGGGCAACACATGCGACTTTAAAAGCGCCTGGGAATTGCGACCCAGGAATAGGTTTAGGGAGTACGATGCGTCAGCACTCACCTCCACTGTTTCCTGTGCTACACCCTCTACCTAACCATATTTGATACAAGCCTAGCAATGCCGCTTTGGATATTCGTTCAAGAAAAGAGCTTACTGAAGCTCTTGGCAATCCAAGGTCTTTAAGCAGGTTATAGAGGGATTTGGCTGGTATACGTCTCGCACCCACTTCCACGGCATACAACATTACCATTTTTAGTTATATTTGGTTAAATCAAAGTACTTGTTTTTTGATAAGCGTCGTCTTTTGGGGATGATGGTTTCCCACGGCACCCTAAGTTCTACTAGTACTACACGCTTAATTGAAATTACATAAAGAAATATGTCTGGTCTGGACGCCGAGGCACAGATATCCTCCGGTTTTTTATTTTTTTTTATTTTTATTTTTTTTTAAAAAAGACAACTCCCGCGTTAGGAATATATCCTGTGTAGCGGGGGACTTTACAAACATACATGAAACGGACACAAAGAACATCCAGACTCAGAACAACAATTTGTGGATCACACAAAGTGTCGTCCCATGTGGGGTTTGAACCCACAACACTCAGTGTAGTAAGAAGCGGCGTGGCGACCGCTTAAACCACTACGCCATCCGTGCAGTCTTATTTTTGATTTGTAATTGAGTACGGCTTTTGTAAAGTCTATTTTGTTGAGCCTTTCTTTACAAACGCGATATTAGTTCTTATGTTTGTTGTTATTTCTTTTTTCGCTCTCGCTACTGATAAACTTATAACTTCGCGTATGATTTTTAATAAACTATCATGGCGACGTGAATAATGATAACTGAATAAATATTTTTAACAATCCCGTAGGATAGTCATGCTCCGGAACAAATGGGCCGTCTCGAAAAGAGTAATAACACTTCCATACAGAAAACCTGTGTTAAGCAATCCCTTTGTTGCCTTTCACCGAATGAGTAAGGTTATAGGAGCCTTAACCCCCCCCCCTGTACCCCCCCCAGAATCAAGGGGAAGGTCTTTTGATTCTGGGTATGGGGACGAAAAGGTAATTGTGATTCTTGAGTTGCAGATGTCCATGGGAGACGGTAGTCACTGACCCAACTGCTCGTTTGTACTAATATACTAACCAGAAACTCAGTTTTATTCAGAAATCAAGAGCCAGATACAAATATAAAAAAAGCCAAAATAATTATTATTAATACGATAAAGGCTAATCTTTCTTTTTTGCTTTGTTTGCCATATTTATACGCCTAATTACTCAACCGTTTATTCTGTCACGAAAACAGAAAACAACTTCATACGAACGGTAGATTTCACCCAGAAAAAAAACGTACTAAAATATTTTTTGTGAGCGTAACCGACAGCAAAAGTTAGATAAAATTGAAGTACAAACCTCACTTAACCTAGTACAATACTCCAATAAATAGCTCTGCATACAATCCGTGGCAAACTTCATCACAGTAGTCAGTAGACCCGTCCTGGTTTTCACAGTCTTCTCATCCAGTTTACCATTCAAACAAGTCTCGTTCGCACTCTGTACCGTGTTGTTAGATAACGGTAGCGACGCTTTTTGGTCGACGGTACACTGATTGAAGTCGTTGAGAATGAGCCACTGTGATTTGACGTAATGTTTTGGTGGTGGACTGGCTGTTGGACAAAGTTGTCAAGTACGATTATTATTACACAAAGTGTATTAGAAATAGTACAGAAGTTTCACTGAGACAATCCATTTTTATAAATAGCGACTCTAAATCAGACACAATTAGGTGCAATTCAGGTTGCACAGCGCTAGAAGATTACCTAAAAGATGCCTCGCTTTATATGGCGTAACCTTTCGGTGAACGATGTGACGCGGGGCGTGAATATGTATCGTAATAACGTACTAAAACGCTATCTACTTTTGCTTTATATCTACAGTGCAGAGCGGGCCGTGGCCTGGTTTAAATCCCTTTGTAAATCTTGATTGGTATACATGGTCATCATAAGCAAATCTGACAATACATAGCGTCCGATACGAACGTTTAATTTTTTTTGAGTATCTGAGACAAGACACCGAGGTAATAGAAAAGGACAAATACCTTGGAATTAATGTCTGCCTATATGTAATATGTTTGAACCATAGAGATATAACCTAGAGAGAACAAGAGCCCCAATCTTACAATATAGGCAACGAGAGAGATGCATAATAGATAGCCCCCGCTATCTTTCTAGTCGAGCTCTGTAGTTGGCTGGGGAGTATGGTAGGTTAATAAGTAGCCAACCGCAGGTAAGCTAAACAGAGACAGAGGGAACTACCGGGTATCCATCTCTCTCGTTGCCTGTATCGCTTCCACTTACAGGTAGCTGTGCCCCGTGTTCTCTCTATGGTTTGAACCATCAACCTCTATGTAATTCTTTATTGCAATCGTATCTCACTTTCTTATTATCCAATTGCAAAAAAAACTTTATAAAACTTTACTTTTGCACATAAAGCATTAAATAAGATAAAAACTTAACTCTTCATTAAATTGGAGAGCCATGGTAGAACCCAAATGTGTGGCTCAACCGGAGCAATGTCAAGGCCTCACAAAAAAACCGGTGCTAACAATTGGTTTTGTAAATTTTCACCAAGTGAGTGAGGGTACCGGAGCCCAACTGGTACTCAAGATGGGGGGACAGAGTGCTCAAACGTACTTGTGATTCTTGAGATATGAGCGGCGGTAGTCACTTACTATCAGGTGACCGGTCTGCTTGTTTGCCCCCTATACCACTCATTGATGGCAAATCTTGCGGTCGATCTTGTCTTGCTCTCATTTCGATCTTAACATAATTGAAGAACTCACTCATGAATTCCCACTGCTCCATCAATTCATTCATGAACGTTGTCTGTTCTTCGTGCAGTCTCTTCAAGTCTTCTGGATTCTTTTGTTGAGAATACTCTTGGGTCTGTCTAAAATATAAGTTCTTTTTATGATAAAAACTAAATAAAATGCCTAGCACTTGCTAAACCTCTACTCGAAAGGCAACATGCTAGATATTAGAAAAAAAACAAAAACTGCCTGAAAATTTACGGTACTTAAAAGTAACAAACAACCGGTACCCAATGTCCCTGTCACAATTAAGATGAATCTAACGACACGTCCAAAGACAAAATCCATAAAGCAGTTTAGACTACAGGGCATGGCAAAATAGCCTCCTGAGTCGCGCAGTCGCCATCTAGTTTCAGACTAAGCAGAGCTTGTACTATGAAAACTAGATTTACTGATAGAATACTTTTTTTTTTGTAACTACATCATTACCCGCGACACAGGATATATTCCTTATGCAGGAGTTGTCTTTGAAAAAAAAATAAGACATATATAATAAATATAGAAAACATCCAAACTCCGAAACAAATATTTGCAGATCATACAAACATTTGGTCCGACTCGGGGATCGAACCCGAAACCTCAGCACAGCAGTCGCATACGCTACCGATGCACCACCGCAGCAGAATAATAAGTAAGAAGAAGACAGAGGATAATCTCTTTCCTTTACTTGAAAAAAGAGAGTGTTACTAACTTGAATATCCAATTAAGAGCATCCATATTTATCCGTTGTTCTTTTTTAACTTCTACTGGTTTCTTATGTCCTCCTGGTAAACTCATATCTTCGCTGTCAGAGAATAGCATGAAAAGAACTTGAGCGTTCGGATTTATCTCTTTTATTTGATTGAGATCGAGGCAATTCTGGAAAAAAAATTTTAGAACTGTAGAAGGATAAATTATAAATAATATTAATATTCCATATAACGATTTTAATCATTTCTATACTATGCAATGGCAGTTTAATTTATAAAAAAATCTTAAAATATGAATTGGTATTAGTGCTTACCTCCCCAGAAAACACAGCAGGCTCCCTGTTGACCTGACTACTCCACTTCCTTTTAACGTCTCCTCTTTTATCTCCATTTACACTTTCTGTACTCTCCGTATCGCCTGCTTCCTTGCCACTTCCAGCCATCGAATACAAATTAAATGTATTCCAAAAATCTTCTTCTTCGCTTCTGGAAGAAACCATATCCGCAGAAATACTATCCGAGAATATATTTTTTCCCGTTTTATCGACTGCATACAGATATATAGGATTAAAATTCTTTAAAATGCTGTCTCGCTTTAAATAGAGATCTGAATGTAATTTTTTCAAGGTCAAATGACTGGAGATCCCAGGATCTACGTCCAAATCTGGAGGTATTATGATACGAACACCATTTTTGAGGAACTGGTTGTTGATTTCTACTTCTAATATTGTTGTCATGTCAGATTTACCTTGTCTTACTAGATCCTGAAAAGGGAAATTTCACATTTGTTTAGTGCAACAGGTTGGATAAATTGGAATAGATATTTCATTATTTGATTTTTGGATGTGGGTCACATATTGCCCTGGATGTGGGTCTTGCTTGTGTTGGTTGAAGATTCACGTCGTTAATGTACTCTATAGGTTTTGAACTCGCAACAAATCGATCCAAAATCTGACAATTAGCCATAGAATTTGGAGGGAAGAAGCTAAGATGTCTTTTCTTACCATAAAGAAATCTTTGAGACCCTCAAGCTGCATGGATCTTAATAACCTAGCTATTGTCATATCATATCTCACCTCAACTGGCAGCGTCTCCCACGATCTTTTATTACACTCCAACTCTTCCACCAGCTCGAACTCCGAATTGCCAAGAGATAGGTGCACCTGTGTAATACTCCCATATTGAATACGAACCTGAAATTAACAAAAAGTAAGCAAAAGTATATAAATATGAATGTAACTTTATTTGAAAGTCTGTTGTCCCCATTTATGGGGGTTGGGTCCTACAAATGTAGCCAAGTGTGACAATGGTGGGGTAAAATCATAATAATCGTACTGAGCCAGTATGACTTCAGCTATAGAAAGTAGTACATAACCTACTTCTGGTCGAATTTGATTCATTCTCAAAAAGAATACCTACCACCTCTCCTGTAAAGTCGACCGCGGTTAACAAACCCACTAGAGAATTGTAGTAATTCTGAAGATGACTAAGTGATCAGAGCGATACCCTATTTAAAATAGACACAATTGTATGTCCAATCGTTGCTTGTGAATGTATCAGAGATATGCCAATGAATATACGTTTGCCGTATTTAAAGACGGGGGCAACCCGTACATCTGTACCGTCACAATATGATACACTAGTATTCGCATTAACGTGACGTCACATTGACGTGACGTACGTTTAAATGAATGCGTCATCGGCTATCGAATTTATTTCCAGGAACTTCCAGAGAGATCTAGCAATGTTTAATGTAGGCATTAGTCCCGACTGAAATAAACTAGTTCCTTATTCTGGAAAAGCCAATTCATTATTAATAATATCAAGAAAAATGACATCTGTTCTTTTATTAAGCTAAAAAAATTATAAAATCCTATTGTTTTTTAACTTACCCATCTACATCCTCTAGGTGGAGGGTCCGGTAATAGTGGATGGCCCAGCAGACAATGTAGGAGTCGAGCGCGTGCTGCTGGCGAAGTCCCTAAGATAACTAGTGCGGTAGTTCGAGCTGCATGGCTGCCTATCTGTTGAACTGTTGTTGGTACTTCTGGATCTGAAGCCAAAGGGCATGTGTGATTTTTTTTAATTATCGCTGGAGAAAAGCTGGAATTCATTAAACTTGTCCGTATCGACTAGACGTCTAGTGGTTAGTGATCGTGACTGCTAAGCCAGAGGGCATGGAATCGATTTCAACCCAGAACAAATTATTGCGTGATGAGCACGATCATTTGTTCTGTGTCTGGATGAAATTTATCCATAATATGTATGTTTATCAGCAGTCTGGTCACCATTGTACAAGCTCGGCCTAGTTTGGGATCGAACGGCCCTGTGTGAGATTATTACTATTGCAAACGAAACTACAGTCAAACACTCGATCGGTCAGGGCGCAGAGGTGTTATCGCCACAATTTTATTTTTTGCTTTAAACACTTCACAAACCGTTAAGGATGACTAATGGCTTTTATTGTTATCGCTATCGATGTGTACACTACCACACTTAGTAATAATTAGTCAGTATCATGTAGGGCTTCTCTCTGCGGGGTAATTAGGAGACTATTGGGTTAAAAATAGTAGCTTCATTATGATCTAATTTTAGGGTTTCTAACTAAAATTTTCATTTGTCATATTCACGTTTAGTTCTAAATATAATATAAATAAAGTGAATCTCTGCACCGATATGATAGTTATAGCTACTTCTACAAGAAAATATAACACAGGAGGTAAATAATGTGTCTTACGCTCTATCAAGCCACATCATGGAGCTTACGTCATATTTGCGTAGTTGTTCAGAGCTGGCCTATTTTATAAGAAATGAACCCGACCCTAAATCCATAAGAATTCTTCTCCTCTCAGCCTTGTGAGAGGTACTGTAGTTTAAGACAAAAATCAGCAAGCTACATCGAAATAGCTTAGGTATTTTTATATATATATATATTTTTTATATATATTATATTTTAACACATTTCACACACGGCCGCCTGATTCCAAACTAGGCAGAGCCTGTACTGTGGTAACCAGACTGCTGATAAACATACTTCTATATATTGCTAAATGCATACATATTATAGATAAAGTTTAAAATTACACAGAACAAATGACCGTGCTCATCGCGCAATTACTTGTCCTGGGTGGGAATCGAACCCACGACCTCTAGTGTAGCATTCAGGGTCACTAACCACAAGACCAACATGCCAGTCATTTATTGTTTGGGAAATTCCATTAGTAGCAAGTGTCATTGACCTTTAGAACATTTTGAGGCCAAGGCGAAGTTATCCTTGTAGTAACACTTAATGACCACAAAAACTCAGGCCCCAGACATAGCTATCAATCTGGTAGCCGATATAGAATTAATATCATTATCTCGTTAATTAAACGGTTTACTTACAAACAATATCGGCAGAAGGGACTAGACTAGAACAACAGCCCTTTTTGCAATATTAGTTCTTGATCATAGTAACCGATGTAACATAATGGTTTAAGGGTGGGTTTCATAGACAAATAGTATAGTTCTTCCTCGTGACCTAATTGACTGTGAGAATTTCCCTGAGGTGTTGCTGCGCTAGTGGCTTGATGCCTCAATGAAGGCTCTGCCTTCCTATGTCAATCGGTTCAATTTCAAAACAGCCTCACCGAAAATCCAGGGGGGGTGACGACCAGAGGAACCACTACGACAGGGTACGACCATAGTCTGACTTCCACCAGTGGTCCTTCCATGGTAGATCGATGTTTGTCTAAGCGTTGCCAAGTAAGTAGTGGACACAGAGATAGCCTTGGGATATTTACTGCCAGCTCCTAACCGGTTTCTTATTTTATCAGTTTCTCAGGAAAAGCTGTTTAGCACTTGAAAATAAAATGGCTTACCAAAATGTAGTATATCGCAGACGTCATCAAGAGCCCGCTGTGTATCTCTGACGAGGCAGCGGAGCGTGCGCGTGCACGCCACTACGCGGCGCGACCACGTGTATCCGCTGGCCATCGCTGCCGCCGAGGCCTCCTAGAGCAGCTAGCGGAATAATCTGCATGCGTTTGGTATGAGGACAATTAAATAAATTTTGTAAGAAATGCGTTACTTGGAATTTGAATTATACTATATGTACGTATTTGATGGTTACAATCATTATCGTCATTTAGTAGTAACAGCCTTTAGTAGTCAAGTTCAGGGTTCTGGCCTGCTATACCACGGTGGTCAGATAGGTTGGTATAGGGTTTGTTTTACGTTTTCCTTCTCTCTGCAGTGCTGTTGTCGTGCGTAGTTTGCACCCTTAGTCGGCTCTTACGACACCCACGAGACGAATAAGGGTGGTGACACTCTGTATTCTTAATCCGTTACCACACGGTCTCTTTGGGGTAATATGGCGATATATTTGTCATTTGTAAACCGATTTCAATTATTTTTTCTCGATGAGGAATAGGCACCAGAATTAACGTTATGTCTTTCGAGTCTATTTATGTGTGTATATTTTTTTTGGCACGCTCTGTGGTATAAACGCCATGATGGATGTTCACTTGGGAGGTGTTGTCAGATTCGTCACAATTGAGATACTGACGCTGTGTATATCAATAATATAAAAATAATAAAGTAAATTGAAAATTATAAATTTTAAATAAATATAGCCACATTTTTAGTTTTGAGTTTTTTCCACTGGGTTTACTGAAGGTTAGTCTCATTTAATCTTAAAGATCTTAATGAACTGAGAGAGGATGAAAAGTACTGCTTATTTAAATGAATCATAACTTACTTATTTTCTTATTCTTCTTATTAAAAAAAGGTTAGCTCGCGCAACAGGAATATTTCCCATGTCGCAGGGGACTTTAAAAAAGTTGCAAAACGAACACAGAGAATCCCCAGACTCAACAACAATTTGTGTATCACACAAAGTGTTGTCCCATGTTGGGATCGAACCCTTAACTCCTATCGCAGTAGGAAGCGGTGAGGCGACCGCTTATACCACTACGCCATCAGTCAATTTTAAAGTCGATAATACGTTTTTAACTCCCGACGGAAAACGAGGGTTGTTATAAGTTTAACCTGTGTATCTGCGTATTTGTCTGTCTGTCTGTGGCATCATAGCTCCCGAACGGATGAACCAATTCCGATGCGGATTTTTTCGTTCGAAAGCCGATGTGATCGAGATGATTTTTAGCTATAAATTTTGAAGATCATCAGCTTATTTCCTATAGGTGATGAAGGGAACTCACTAAAATCCTAAAATTAAGGTTGCCTGGAAGAAATTGCATTTAGCAATAAGGCCGCCCTTTGTACACTCGATATTTGATCGTTGTGTTCCTTTCTTGAAACTCTGTAATTTAGTGTGCAAATAAAGAGTTATCTATCTATCTATCTATTTATCCACAGGACCGATTGATCTGAAATTTGGTATACTGTGACTTTGATGGTATTTCCACGACATGGTAACCTGGAACTTGCTACTGCATCAAGTAGTCTTCGGGATAGCCATCTCCTCAGAAAATTACAGCATATATACCATGATTGGATTATTAAAACAGTTTCAATGACCAGTTATTGTTTTTTAAGTTTTGTTTTGTGTCGGGGGTTTTTTAATGATGCTATTATTTATACACTTAATTACACCGTAAGTCAGGAAACCATGACGAATGGAATTATTCTCATAAATTCTGTCACGGTCTGTTTCACAGCAAATATTTGATTTAGGTATTTCGGATCCCTAAACAATATCAAGTTAGCATGTTAGAAATTTTGAGTGTTAATTGAATTTTAAATAACAAGACTCAATGTTGTTGCGTCATCTTAAAATTTTAGCGTAACAAGATTGTCAGGACGATGTATCGGAAAATAGGTAACTATTTTGCAGCCTAGACCTTGATATTATGAAGGAAACGGACGGATGTGGCACGCTATGTGTTTTTAGGGTTCCGTACCTCAAAAGGTAAAAAAGGAACCCTTAAGATTACTTTCTTGTCTGTCTCTTTGTCTGTTCGTGTGTCACCACCGATTTTCTTAGGAACGGGTAGACCTAGAAAGTTGAAATTTATACCAGATACTAAAGTCTATGGTCGCTATTAGGTGTATAAAAATCAAGGTCCTGAGTCCTTGTAAGTACCAAAATTTACCTTAATTTCCAATTTTTTTTTCCGAATTTAATCTTTACATATGCTGTAAGACCTTGCTTTTAACAAAATTTGACAATTCTAGGTACCCTATAGGTTTTGGGTCGAAAATCACGAATCACGAAATTTGGCAAAAAGAAAGTTCTTACAGCACAAAATAAATGAATAATTCCAAAAAATAAAAAAGTTGAAAATTAAGATAAATTTTGGTACTTACAAGTTTTCGCGAAAATCTAAGTAAAATCTGTGTAGGTACGGAACCCTCGGCGCACGAGTTCGACTCGTACCTAACCGCTTTTTTTTTGCTTTTTTTAACCTACTTCAGAAAAGAAGGTTCTCAATTCGGTTTTTTATGTTTGTTCCCTCAGAACTCCGTCATACATAAACCGATTTAAAAAATTCTTCTATGAGTATACTTCTTGTTTGGTCCCGTTACAGTTTGAAACACAAAAATACCACTAATAAGGGTACATAATTGCGAAATGAAGAAAACATTGTGGAATTGTAATAAACTACAGTTCATCATGTAGATAATATAGGACAGGAGCGGTTACCGCTCACACAATTTATCGCAAATTTACGTCAGTATAAAACAACAGCCGTATACATCATTTTGACAGACTATGTAGAAGTTACTTGTTGGATAACACACGATGTACACAAAATTATAAAACAGACACGTTTACAAAGTTTCGAATTGGCAAATGACTGAGAAAACTCTGTTTTGGCACTGTAATTGATTAAAATACTTTGGCAAAATGAATGTACGCATTATAATGGAACTTTGTTCCCGTCTACGTCTTCTTGAAGCTGACTGTTTTATAAAAAAAAATGGGTGTCATCCGAAACGTCTGACAAATGTAGGACTCTCAAACCTGCCCCCCAGGACCGGAAGCGTAAGTTCCCGGATTTTGAAGCTTTTACCCCGGACATTTCAATACTTTTTTTTTTCACTTACATCTTGATAAAAATATATTTTACTCCGTACTTGATAGAAGAAAACTTTAATTTTAAGCCTCTTTTGTTTACATGAAATAGTGTGTTTAATCGTTCTTGTGACGACAAGTGAGTAATTTTGCTTTATTTTTTAACCTTCTTAGGTATTAAATAAAAGATAAACGAACCCAATATTAGTTACTCATTTAATAAAATTAAATGAAAACTTGTTTAACTAGGGCAGCGCGTGCAGTGAAATACCTAACCCATAGCTTTTATTTACATAAATTATGGGAACGGGATCTGATCGAAAACCCGGCCTTTTATTGTATTCCGGGTTGCACCCGGACTACAATTTAAACCCGCCCGGATGCTCCCCGGACGTCTGCCAAACTAGAACAAATCCGGGGAAACCCGGACGGATGGCAGCGCTAGACAAATGTGAAACATCAAAACAATTTTGTAGAAATAATGAATATAAAAGAATAGCTTATGAAAGGAATTAATAAATGTAACATAACTTGGCGACGTATGACATGCATACTCATAAGCATGTCATAAGCATCATAAGCATGTCTGGCATTAGATGTTTCATATCAAAAGGGATACAACATGAAATTACTTACAAACGATACCCATGGCATTTCCCACAAATAACCGCACTGGACAGGGGCCGGTGGAGGTAGATCACACACTCCAGACACAACCGTGATTCTGACCATGTTTATCAGATCAGATATCTATGAGGGACTGATGCCAGAGAGACATGCACATAATCAAATAACTGGAGTACAAAGAACGTTTTGCAAGAATAAGAAGAAAGAGAGCCGAAGATTGTCATCATTATGACTCAGCTTGGCACGAATAAATGAAACCCAGTCTTTACTTACAAGACTACTTTGTTGTACATGTGCCGTTTTGTAAGTATAATATTTTTTTATACATACATACGGAACATTAAATGATAATTTAAGTTTTAACGGCTTTTTAAATATCTTCAGAAGGGTCAGTCATCAGGGTTTGGTTAATTAAAGCCAGGCTTCTGCTAGGCTCTGACTTTTATTGGACGGGAACAGGTTTCTCTAAGTCTCTTTCAACAATCCTTTGAAGGGCTGGCGGTGACACTAAGGGTAGGCCGTCACCGTCTACTAAGAATTTTAGGTTTATAGCACTTACAAACTTTGCTTTCGACCCAGTAGGAGGGGTGGAGGTAACGGGTCATCACGTTGATTTTTAATCAGAAATGGGTTGCTGTCAAGGACATTGGGTGGTTTTAGATGGATGATAAATAGACCAGGATTCAAACCTTTTGAAACCTCACATACATAAATAAACAGACAACATCAAGGGCCTACTCAGAACCTAAAAGTTATACCTTGACAGTTTTGTTGGTTTAGTCGTTAGTGACCCTAAGTGCTAAGCCAGAGGTGATGGTATCGACTCCCACGCGGGACAAACAATTGTGTGACGAGCAATACCATTTGTTCTGTGTCCGGGTTTACTATAACTATAAAATGCATCTATTCAGTCGTATAAAATTATGTTTATCAGCAGTCTGGTACAGGTTCTGCCTAATTCCAGATGAGACGGCCGTGTGTGAGGTTATTATTTACAAATTTCACGATTTAACAAAACGAGCAAAACTAGCTACATTTATTTACTAAACTAATAGCTACACCCTATTGTATTATCATTGAATAAGTGATTTACATTTCTAACAAGTAAAAACAGATAATGAGGTCTATTAACTATTTAAGTTACGCATATAAATCTCCTATCGTGACCACGACGAAAGGTTAACGACTGCAGTTAAGATAATGTATAGAAATATGTAATTACTAATTGAGTTTAGGTATCCGATAAACCTGCCGTACTACGGCAACTAGTAGAAAAGAGATTAAAAAGTCAAAAAAATTGGAGACATTTTAGTTTAGACGACTATAATTTTTT